TTTTTTTTTTCTTTTTTTGGGGGGGGGGGGTCAATAATATTTGTTAAATGGGTTTAACTAAAGCAAATTAATTTAAGAGAAAAATAGGTTACTTTTGTCATAAAAAGCTGAATTTTCAGCATCAGTTACATCTTTGTTGTCACATTACCCATCAGAAATAATTCTAATATGCTGATTTGGTGTTCAATAAACATTTCTTAATGTTATCAGTGTTGAAAACAATTGTGCTGATTCTTTTGACTAAATGTACATATTTTTCCTCTGTATTTTTATAGTCGCCTTTGATTTATGACTAAAATAACTTCCCCCTCTTTAAGTTCTTTGATTTAATGAAATCAAGATATTATTGACAGATATTATTGCCACTTCATCCTTTTCTGAAATGGGTCTGGTAGCCTTTTATTAATACTGATGGTTTTAATCAGTGATTATCTGTGTAAATAATTTTACTATTTTTATTGTACACATACAGTACATCACTGCGACTCTGGAACTCTAAACAAGAACAGTCAGTCAATCTGATCATAAGGTTAATTAAATCAACTGAACACTATGATAATAGCTGTGGTTTTGGAAAATTTGCACTTCCAGATATATGATTCAGGGATTCAAAATTTGACATTAAAATATCTAAAATAAAAAAAGTGAAATAAACAGGTCAGTATCCATATTCTTTGTGAGAACAAAGCTTCACAGCTGCTCCTTTTGCTTATGCTTTCTAACAGTTACACGGCGTCTCACAAACTCTCTTCCAAAAGCTGATATTAGGTATCAGAAGCAGCTCAGTGCACCTCTCCTCAAGAGCTCTGCCTAATTGGTTAGAGTGGGCCAAAATATGCTCATATTGCAGCAACTCAGCCTCATTTCCATACAAAAAACATAAAGTTGAACCTAGATATAAGATTTATTTATATGTGGGATTTTTTTCTTTCTTTCATATTTGTTTGGAAGAGGTATCAAACAGTGTGCTGGGGATATATTAAAGACATTTTTCAAAGCCTTCTACAAAGTGAAGCATCCAAAAAATAATAAAAATCGGCGCCACTCACTGCTGTGCCGCGTTATTGGAAGACTCACACTTAATAGCGACTAAAAAAATCCCACTCCCTCTATTTATGGTTGTCAGTTAAGTACATGCTCTGGCAGGACTCCAATAGAGAGAACACTAAGTCACCTATAATTTGCCTTCCTGCAGTCTGAATATTAAATTGTCAGTTGAGGACTTTGTGATTCATAGATCCAAAGCCGTTCCGTCTATAATGCTTATTAGTCATAGCATGTATAAGCCTTTTCCGCTGTGGCATTAGCGTGGCTAACATCGACTCGTGGCAAGTACCTCCAGTCAGCATCTGTGTGGCTTCATATCAAAATGAAGCAATTTATTGGTTATGTGATACTTCCAGTGTTTCCCTGTGTTAAGGATGTTCCACGTAATCTGATTGTACTGTATTACGATAGCAAGACACACTTTCTGTCTTCCAACTCCCCACTGGAGAGCT